TCCACAATTGCAGATGTAACATGGAATAAAATGCAGAATGTAGTGAAATCCATTCCCGAATTTTCTGAGGATTATGGCCCAACTGACAAAATTACCTCTATGGAAGATGCAAAACCCATGGATATATTTATGGCTTTTATCCATCTATTTATTCCAATTTCCTTATTATGTACGTTCTTATGTTTTCACTGCTGCAGAAAAATTACATAAATTATAATTTTTTTTGATGATATACTTTGTAAAATAAAGTAAAAAATTTATATTTGATGCAATTTTTAAGTGCAGTTTTTTTTTTTTTTTTTTTAAATTCGCAAATTTTGTCATTCATTGGAAATGCATACGAAAAAATGTAAGTTGTTTTTTCCTACTAACTCAGTAAGTTTCTAAGTCCTAGACGCACGCTGGTTTCACAGCGAAACCACCACCCACAGATTAATAGGCGAGAGTAGATTTTTTTTAATTCATATATTATTTGTCTCTAGGATCATAATATTCAATTTCTAGTGTTTTTAGTTAAAAAAAATTAAAAAAATAATATAGCGTGCGTCAAAGGGTTAAAAATTAGTTTACATTAACTTTTAACGGACATGGTTCATATATATGATTCCTTGATAATGGTGGTAACAGTTCTAATTCCCATGTATCATTTAGGTTTTTAATCAAGATGATGAGGATTATCTATGTTTTATTAGGTATTGAGTTTTCTAGTATTGAACGATGCATATAAATCCTTTTGTGGAACACACTCGAGCCTGTATTTTTCTTTGATGTAGAGTTGCTAGGTTTTACAGCTCCAGTACAAATGATTATTGGAATGGAGCCTGATGTTAGAAAATTGCCGTGAGAATAGAATATCTGCTCATAACTTTTAGCCTATAAAAGGACTTTTCAGGAATATACACATGATGAGGTTAACTTGTAAAGTGCTGATGTTGAACTTGTTAAATGCTATGAATGCTGAGTTTTTACCATTAGCAATAACTGCACTGCAACCACAGACCTGAAGTTGGTATTAAAGTCTGTTTCCTTAATAATAATAATAAAAATAAATAAATAAATAAACTGGATTTTACAGTAATTCCAACATGGGTGCATCTATGAGCTTATTGATGGGCAGATTACGAATTATGCAGAAAACTACATTGTTTAACAGATTAATTAGAACTGTTAGAGATAAACTAGAACTATTAGTTTTAAAGCCTTTAGTGTTATCAGCATTTATTAAGAAAAAATGTTTTCTATAAACAGAAAAATGATTTCAGCTCCTTGATGCCCAAGATAAGTTACATCCATTAAGTTCTGAAATTAACAATTTTTGAAGTTATCTAATGATGTGCCATGCCTTTCTGTTATAAGATAAATACCCATATCCATTCAAATGATAAAATTATTAAATTCCTTAATTTGATACTTTATAACTGTCCACTGCTGAGAGCAACTTTGACAATTGAGCACAAGAGGGTGTCATTGCTCATTAATTGTTACTTATTGGCTATCACTATTTTGACCATGCTTTGGGCTTTATGGATTTCTTGTGCCATATTCCTAGGTCCTGATGATAACACAGCTTAATTTGTTCTGTAAGCTTTTCCAGAATTTGGTTTTTGACAGATTTTATCTTATAAAAAAATTACAAACAATTTATTTGTGATAATCCTATTACTTACACCATGAGTTGAACTTTTTTTTTAATCGAGGAAAAGGTAATGTTTTTATCTTTCTTGCTTAGCTGTACGAGTTTTCCAGCAGCTGCAGAAGTAAAAGGAATTTTTTTGGTTTCGAATTATTTCCTCACTTAGATCCTTTTCCACATTTCACATATCAAAGGAGGATTTTGTACAAAATGTGATGAAAAGCTTGGCACTAGAACAATTGCTTGGTATATGCCCATTTTTTTTTACTTCATATGTATACACATATTCCATTATTAAAGTGGAAATACATTGTATACAGAAGACGTTTCATGGCACATCATAATATATTTGGTTCAGATAGTTCAGCTAAGAAGAATTAAATCTAAAAAAACTTACTCACAATGGTAAAGTATGGTAGTGAAGATGTAATTGCATGGGATTGCATAACTGCAGCAGGACTAGATAATGCATTAAATAACAAATCTGAAGCTATTTCATGATGCATCAGTTCTATATAGTATATGCTTCAATCCAGATGCATGGGATTACATAACTGCAGCAGGACTAGATAATGCATTAAATAACAAATCTGAAGCTATTTCATGATGCATCAGTTCTATATAGTATATGCTTCAATCCAGATGGTCTGTGAAAAAATAATGAAAAGCTAAATCTAAAAATTTCATACCCACTGATAAAGAATGGTAGTGGATTTGTATGGGACTGCAATAGGACTAGATAAACTGGTTTTTACTGGAACTGTAACAGATCATTCAAAATATATGAACAATTTAAAAAAGAATGTAGGGTTATTATTACTTTGAACAATCAATTATTTTATGACTTAGATCTTTACTATCACTTCTCTTTCCATTTCCCTACTAGAATGCAAATCAATTCGAGAGTAAGTGAGGTTTTCAGATTATAAGACAAAGTGTGTTTCTGGTCTCTAGGCCACATTACCAGGTTTTGCTAGCTCATATAAGACTATATTACTCTGCTTTGCATTACAGTTACAGACTTTTAAATTGTTACACTACTGAGAAGTTTGAGCCAACTTCACGTTAAATTACTTGCGTAGCCTTTGGATACTAGACTAGTTTTATAGTTGAATTTACTGCTGCTTTTAAGTTACATCATCACAAGTGGTAGATTGATTTGTAAGCACAAATCATGCATTTATATTCCAGTTCTGATTTAATAAAAAGATTTGTTTTAAAAGCTTCTTAAGACTTTGTACTTCTTTTCACACAAAGTGATAATTCCCTCCAAGTCTGTTAGGAGTTTGGACTTATAGTTCATGCTAGCAAAAAAGACTTAACTCAAGAACATTAAAAGAGCCTAAGGTGTAAAATGTATCAAAACAATGAATGAAACATGCCATTTTAAATATGTGTTTGTGCTTGCTCTGCAATTACTCTGAAGGAATGAAAATGCCTACTAAATCTCTCAATTTGAAAAACATAGAACATATCTGGTACAAACAAGAACAATAGGGAAATACAGCATTTTAACAAAAGTTGAACTGAAAGAAGGGATAGAATAAGAATGGAATAATACTAGTGCTGAAGTTATAAAAGTGTTTGATCACTTAGTAATAAATTTATTGATCTGAGAATTGAAAGAAAAAGGGTGGCCCAAATGGTACAAAAATTTTGAAATTTTATGTGTTTACCTATATTGCTAGCTATTTTTTATTTTTCATGGTTAAAAAAAATGTCCGTTTGTTTAGAATCAATATCATTAATATGGTCAGTATGATTAATAAATTATTTCCATTTTTGATTTCCTGAGGTCAGATTATAATTGAAAATATATGGTAAATATTTTCTACATTTTTAGCACTGTTTTATCCCTCCCCCACAATTCTCAGAACCTTCTCAAAGTGTTTTTGCATTGCTGGTTTATTTTCCTTTTGTTTTTTAAACTATTAATGAAATAATTATGCATTATTTTTGTAACAGAACAAAGATTACATTTAAAAAATACAATGAAGAAATATTTTAATTTAACTTGTAGAGACATTAGTTTTTTTTATAGCATGAAACGTGAAACATGAGCAGTGCCCTCGCCGGTACTCACATCCTGGACCTCTTTAATATATGCCGAAAGTGAAGACAATTACACGACGAATGCATGCTAAGAAGGTGGGACAAATACTTTATATAATCCCGCTTTTAAAGGGCGACTGGGGATTAGGAGACCTAATTGCCAAATCCTGGTGGTGCAGAATCATCACCCATCACCTTTTTTAGTTCAGGCGCCACTGTAGAGACATTAGGTTTTTTATAGCAGTAAATGTAAAAAATTAGCAATGCCCTTGCCAGTACTTGAACCGTGGACCTCTCGAATACGCACCAATTGTGCTGACCATTGCACCACGAAGGCATGCTAAGAAGACGGAAGAACGACCTTATAAAGTCACTTATATACTTTTTAAACAAAAATCCAAGCTCTTTCAAAATTTCTGGGAGCTCAACTCATATACACTCAACTTTTTGTCTGCAGCAGTTTTTAGTGCATTCGTGAGTTTTATTATTTTTAATAATTAATTACTTATCTTGTAAAGTATATTTTGTTTAAACTAAATATTATTAAAATGAATAATTATATATTGTATTTTTATTAATTTTTTTTTTTTTTTTTACTCAAGCCTTTGCATACCAGATGCTGCATTATAACACAGGTTATTCCTTATGATGCAACAATAATCCTATGAGATTATTCTGGCAAAATTAATGTACAACAAAAATGAGAAAGTTACTCTATTCTTTGTATGGTTTCTTAAGACTAAAAGAATATATTTCTTAAAACAATAATTTTAAGCATTCATTTTAAATTGTGTGTAAATTTATGTTAGAGCACATGTAGCTCTCCTTTAAATTAACAATCTTATACTTTATTTAGTTTTTTTGTTTGGTGGACTACTTTACAGTATCTCCTAAAGATCCCTGAATACTAATGACTCTCTACTAAGAATTGTTTCACAATTATTTTAAATTGCAGACAAACGTAAATACTTCAGTAGTCTCAGCTGCATTGGAAGAAATGAAGTAAATCTCAGAAATGATTTTTGTGTTACAAAGAAAAGTATACAGTTTAGATCTTTTAATTAAAAAACTGAAAAATATAATTAAATTTTCTTTTCCAATATTAAGTATATTAGCTTTGAGCCCCATAAGAAATAATAAGACTCATCATAAGACAAGCTGTTTTTAATTCTATGCTTTCAAGTGACATATTAGTGATAATTTTAATTTTCAATAAGAACTGGAATAATCTACAAAATAAACAGAGCCATGCCAGAATGAGCAATTTCTAAACAAAATAAAATTTGTATAATTCCTATTTTGGATACTAGCTTACTAGTCTGGTTAGCCTTCTGATGCACCATCAGCTGAGATCTTGATGCTGATTTCTTCTGATGCACCATCAGCTGTGATCTAGATGCTGATAGATATTTTTTTGTGTCATATAATTACATATTTCACATAATCTTAACTACTACACTAAGAAAAACAGTTAAGAGTAAAATGAAAATACGAAAATTACATTTTAAAAAATTCAGCTTACTATTTTCCCTAGTTTGTTTTCAAAAAATGATAATCTAAACTGGTATCTCTCATAAAACTGCTATGTAAGCATAGCTAGTTAAATTTAAGAATAAATACTTCTTTTAAAATTTGCTTCCAACTTTCCACCAGAAATTGCATTTTTTTGAATTTGAAAATGCATGAGTTGTGCCGTTTTAGCTTAAATTGATAGTTTAAACTATTAATGTCCTTCTTTTCAGCTCCCATAAGAAATTACATAATATCAAGAATAAAAATGGATAGGATTATCTGGATTATAGTGAAAAATTTCACTACAGCATTGGCCCAAGGTGAGGGATGTCTTTGTGGAGGACGTTTTAAGGGAAAGTGATTTTTATTTAAGTTACGCATGAGAAAAACCATGGAAACTCCCTAGTTGCCAGCCTGTCTGCCAGGATTTGATCCCTGCTGAACTACCAGTATTCAGTGTTTTTCTTATTTTGCCACTGGTAGGCCAAGAAATAAAGGACTTTAAACCTAATAGTTACTTACATAACAAATATTCTACCTCCTTTTTCAATCTAATTATTTAATCCTATTGAAACTTACATCATCAATTCAACCATGAAGAATGATAGATGGCAAAATTATGCCTTTATTTAATATTAATAATAATTTTTTATAAAATACTTCAATGTCAAATGTTTTTCTGCCATTGAAATGTATATTTCTTAACTGTTATTACTCACAAAGAAAAACAAAATTTTGATAATTGTTTACCAATCTGAAAAAGAATATTACTAAGTAATATTTTTTATTTAAATAACTCTAGATATCACATAAATTATTCACACGGATGCTTTTACATGAAACTGATAAAACAGATATTTATCTCTTTTCATAAAGTTAGTATTTTTCAAAATTATTTCCATATAACATGGATAGTCTTGAAATCTTCCTTAATTATGATAACAACCTCATAACCAAAGATTTAGTAGAATTATCTGCTCAAAGCTAGAACATCAGATAAAGTTCTCTTCAACATCATTAGTAATTTTCCATATCAGACATGAGTATGGAATGCTGATTATTTGCATTCAGTCATTAAGTATCCTGATATAAACAATAACATTCAAAAACGTCCAGTGCAGTAATACTTGAAATAAAGGCTGAAGGAGCACAGTTATTGTCCTTCTTTAACTTTCAAACAAAACACCTTGCTTAAAAAAATATCTAAAGGCATCAACACTCATGAAAAGAGTTTTGTGGATGTTAATAAGGCTTAGAATTTAGTGCACATGATTCAGAATAGAAACACTAACACACTGCTACAAAAACTGCTTCTATTTGTGTTGGACAATTTTCATCATTATTTCAGAGATAATATGAAAAAAGATATTTCCAGTGATGAAAGCAAATTTGCCAATTATGCTTAGTAGACTAATATTAATATTAAATTGGGATGTATCAGTGAATAAGCCCTTCAAAGATAATATCAGAAGGATGCAATCATTATGTGATGAATGCAGAAAAAATCCGAGTGAAGAAAGATATGACCAGTGAACGAAATTATATGTTGGCCTCTAGTGAAGGCAAGAGTAGAATGTAGCCAGATGAATTTATGATGCGCTTAAAAGCTGGAATTTTAAATGCAACTGATGACAGTGGAGATGATATTTTACAGGAAATAAAAATGGGGATGAAAAAAATTAACCTGAAATGGAATTTTCAAGAAATGAAGCAATAATGTATAAAGAATCAATGGGGTAAATACAGAGTGGCATTAGATTAAAATTAATAGTTATTTAAACATTTTACACACCATATTGAAATCCTTTCCTTTAAATTATGTATCCTTCTTTTAAGTTATAAAATTATACAAGAAAAAAGTAAAGACTATACAGTACAAAATCTGAGATGCAGACGCCCAATAACCAGAATGATCTAAAATCCGGTTCTCAAAAACCATCAACAAGCATTTTTTTTTATGCTTTATGCATGCGCATTTGATTTTTCCTCCCTCATAATAAAACATATGGAGAATCCTGATTCTTAATTTCACTTTGGCACTAAATAAATACCTCGTTATTCAAGAAACAATAATTTAGCATAAATTTGTATGATCAATAATTTCATTTCGTAGCTTCATATCTGCTTGGAATACATCTCAAACAGAAGCATTTTACATAGAAACATCACTGGTTTTACACCTACTAATATTTTATATCCCTGACACCAAGCTGGAGAATCATTATTATATTTTGCTTTCATAACTGCATGTTTATCAACACATGACAACTTGAGTAATGACTCATGCAGTGATGACCAAACATTTTTTTATTAGTAATTTAATAACAAAGAGTATGGTAACCTTTTGTGTGACATTACACTTGACAATGATTACAGATTTAAGTTAAATGCACTAAGAGAAATGTTGATGAGGAAAAATTTAACAAAAATCTCTTTCCATATGCTAAATTTAGATTTTGTCAATGATACTCATAAGCCAAAAAAATTACTGCTATTTGAATTAATAACTGAATTGTTTTTCACATGAACTCAGAGTGGGGTCAGAGCTTTATATTGTCACACCGGATGGAAGAATTTTAGGGAAGACAAAATTTTTGGAACTGAGAGAAGCATCAAGCAACAAAATTAACGGATAGAAAATTTTTTAGAATTTAGAGAAAGCACTAGGATCTAAAATTTAGGGACGGCAAAAATTTAGAACTTACGGAAGTGCTTGGTAGCAGAATTGAGGACCCACAGAGATTGTATCAGGCAGTAAGATACCTAGTGCCTGCCCTCAATAAGCCTTAATTGGGAATTTATTTAATCAGGACTTGGATAAGCCTGAAGCATGTGCAAGAAATAGACACAAGTATAATAAATAACTAAATTAATACAATTCAGGCTTAACTGTCTTAGTGCGTGATAGAAGCTAAACAAAATTTAGCAGAACAACTTGTCTTTTCTCGCCAATCTTATAAACATAACCAATAATGTATAGCATAGGCTAAAATTACAATCTGGATCCTCAGGGAATTTCAGCCAATGTAGCAGTATGCACTGCTCCTTAACTTTCTAATTTGATCTAGCTTATTACTTTTTGCACGTTGTTTTTATTACAGACATTTAATCAAAAACAAAGTTTGAACTTTTGATTATGTCAAAAAGAGTTTCTAAAAGCATGTTTTGATGTCCATTAAACAAAGAATGGAATTGCTGCGAAAAAATGGATAAAGGTATATCCGTCTCAAAATTATGCGAGGTGTATGACATTGGAAAGTCAACTGTATATGACATAAGAAAACAGAAAAAGGAACTTTCTGAATATTTTGTGGATTCCACACCCCATGAATAATGGAAAACTTATTTGTTATGCTAAAAATGAAGATCATGACAAAGTGATTTGACTGAATGTGTTACACAGCTTCACAGCAAGGACGTGCCATTGACAGGTTCAGTGCTAATGGCTCAAGCTAAAATATTTCACAAGAAATGAACTTAAAAATTGAGTGCACATGTTCGACAGGTTGATTAACCAAAGTTAAAAATCGCCATGATATAAGGGAATTAAGAATTTTAGGTGAAAAAGCTTCAGCTGATACTGAAACTGCTGAACTACTTGCAATTGAATTCATTAAACTCACTGATAGTGAAAAGTTATCTCCAGAACAAATTTACAGCACTGATGAAATTGGGTCTTTTTTGGCAATAATGTGCCACAAAATACCTTGGCAACCTCTATAGAAAAGGCTCCAAGTGGTGTCAGACTCGAAACTGAGACTAACAATTTTAGCATGTGCAAATGCTGCAGGAACGCACAGTGTTAACTTTTCGTAATCGGAAAAAATACATGACCTTGAGCATTTAAAGGTGTAAAAATTTTCCTCATTATATATCGAGCAAATAAATGAGTACGGATGATACAAGTGTTAATGAAAGATTGTTTTGAAAATCATTTCATACCCAAAGCTTGGCAGAGTTCGGTTGGTTTACCTGATGGTGCAAAAATTGTCCTAATTGTAGATAACTGTTCGCCTCATACTTCACTTTTTTTAGTGAAAGATAATGTATCCGTATTATTCTTTCATTCAAATTGTATGTCCATCATTCAGCCTATGGATATCGGAATAGTGCATATGCTGAAATGCAAACATAATTTTTAAAAGTCATGTTAAATTTCTATTCAAGAATTCAAGAACTTTTGAAATATTTTTGCACAAAATCTGCTTTGTGGAGCACCACAAGATCATGCGATGTGTCTCCAGATATTTAAAAAAAATGTTTGGCATAATTTATGGCCAGTTACCATATTTCATGGTGAGGATGATAAAAATATTAGCCACATATGTGAAGGTTTTTGGATATCGCAAACCAAAGGTGAAATTTTCCAATTAATAGATTTCATAAAGAAATGAGGAAAAGTGTAATAAATGAAGATGATATAACAGAAGATTTTCATTGTGATGACAATGCCCCAATCATCAATCAATTAATGGACGGCAAAATATAGAGTATGGTTCTAGATCCATAAAATACCACTATCGATAGTGAAGAAAGTGACAGAGAGGTTATTGCAAATGAAAACATTTTGATTGACAAGTTAGTCAGAATTTTCCACACAGCAGTCACAGGACTTGAACAAAGGAGCTTTGTAAGTGAATAAGAAAATATGTCTTTCTACAGAATTAAAGAAAAAATATTAGCACAAAAAAGAAACTTAAACAACTTACATTGAAAGAAATGTTTAATAAAGTAAACAAATAAATATTAAGCTTTTTTGTAATTTTTTTTACCCTTTAGATCATAAACACTTTATTATTCCATAAATCACGATTTCATATTTTTTATCTTACTAGTTTTTAAACTGATGATCTAATATCGAGGAAAAATCCAAATTTGAAGTCCTGACGAGTCCAGATCTTGGACTTTGTACTGTATCACAAAATAAAATTTAAAAAATAAACAAAAGAGTCATGCATTAAAAACATTATAAATTATACTTACTGGAAATTGAATTAATGTTATCAGCACTACCAAATTTGTTTTTAATAAGATGTGCAAATTCCCGAGGCTTAGACATCACACTTCTGTTTAAAAAAAAGTTTCTGTTTAAAATTCAGTTTTTTTAGATAAAATATTTATTAGTGAAACATTACTCCAAAAGTATACAGATTATTTATTAACAATGAAAAGTATAATTACTAATTAGTTATAATGCTTTAAGTATTAAAATTACTTTCAAAATTGGAAAAGTATTTAAAATTTTACTCAATAATTATGTAAATCATGATATTTTCAACATAAATGTTATTTATTTTAGCACAGAAAATGTCTCAATTAGTACCTGTAACACTTTATACACAAAGTAAATGAACATTTGAGAGGTATAACTAAAATTTATTTATTTGTAATTGTTACTTTGTTAATTCCTGTATTACAAATGTACTAATGTAGTATTGTTACAATTTTAAACAAATAATAATAATTAAAATGTATTTCTTAAAAATTAAAGTAAATTTAACCTACTAGTAATGTGATATGAATTATGTGAGTATTCACAAAAACTGCGAAAGTATATAAAATACCAGTAAGTCATATTACACTATTTCAGTGTGAATGGTACACTGCTCAAAAAAAAAATGGGACAGTCCTATATCTC